ATGATCATAAGAATATTACGACCTTTGTTGTTTTTCCTAACTTGTTTATTTTCAAGTTGTTATACATTCTTTTTAATAAGTATATATTATGTTTCACATTGCATAAATGGTTTTTAAGCTTTAGACGACTCTATCATATATTATCAGATAAATCTATCTTTATTTCAGCATTCTATAAAGAAATAAAGAAAAAAAGTATCGTGTCGAAGTACGTAACAGCAAGCAATAATAAACAAAAGTTAGGTTATGCTTCCAGCATCATCACCAAACAGATGTATTTTCAAAAAATACAACTCACAATTCTACGCATACGATACGCAACGATTGAAAAATAAAGTTTAAACAAAATTAAGCACGAACAACCCGCACAAATGAGAAAAAGTCCAATCTAATTCTTTAACACCCATTACACTTCTGAAAGAAAAATGAATATTTACAATAGAAACTAGTCATTCGCCATCACTTGTCATTCTGACCTTTCCAATACGAAAAAGATAAAACTAAATACAGATGTTATCGTGTGATCGATGCACAATACGTTGTAACGACGACTTTTGTCCAAAAGTACAATACGAACACCGTCGCTGGTTCTTTCGATGATGCGCAAAATACGAGAAGCAATGAGGCTCCCGCGCCGGTCACATCGGAGGAGAGAAGGGTATCGCGCGCATCTCCGCGTTACGAAACTGAAAGTCTTCCACTTCCTGCGAGGAAGTCGTCCTCGAACGGAGAAAGGGAACCTCGAAAATGAATTTGACCCAAATCATTTTTTTCGTGAGCGCGCGTACGCGTGACTTTCTTTTTCCTTCGCGACGATCTCCCGCTCGTCTCCTCGTTCTATTATCAAATCCTGGATCTTGAAACTCGCGCGCGCTTCCGTTCCATTAATCGATATCCGCATCCGTTTTTTAACGGTTGCTTCGCCGGTAAGGGGCAATTAATGGTGTTCACAGTTAAAGAAAATTCTTGCGTTATTGTGTTCGAATTAAACAGAAAATAGAAGAAATAAATTCAGACTAAATGTGAAATAAAGATATTTGACAAAATTGCGTTTATCTGTGAAAATTAATTAATGTTTATAAACGGAGTGTTTTTAATAAAATGCACGTTGGTTTAAATTTATTGTCTCTTTTATTTTGTCTTTCCAGTATCTTTTATTTTTAAGATTGCGTTCAAAAATGTTATTACAGATCTATTATACATTTCAATTAATTCATTGTGTCATAACATAAAAATTACACGATTTTCATATCTGTGCAATTATCATTTTTTCTAGATCAACTAAGAACTGCACCCCTGTATTATTAATATTTAATTAATTTTAAAAAGAAAATTAACGAAGCATAGAAATGTGATTAATCGATAATTTAAAATTTTTCTGTTTTGCTTTATTTTTTGTAAAGAAATTCATTTTTTGGAATTTATCGAAAATTGTATTTGTTAATTTGTATATGCTCTACAAGCGTCATGAATTGTTCTAAATAAAATATATTTGAAGATTCCACAAATGTCTGAACGTTTTGAAAGAATTTTAAATTGTTAAGTTAAGACATGTAACGTACACCATTAGTAGCATAAATACTGTGCAATTAATTCACACTTTCTCATTCCTCAGATGCAAAGAATTGCCATGAAGTAGATAGATCCAAAAGAACTTGTGTTTTAGCAATTAAAAATAATTTCTTTCCCGACCATCTAGTTAGCTTCGAAGTAATGTAAACTTCGAATCATACAAATGAAATGTGTCTTTATAATCCTCTTATATAAATACTGCTTCTAATGACTTCATTATGCTTAATAGGAACAAAGTATTTTAACAACGTTGGAAGTTAAATAATAAAAAGGGAACGGTAAAAGTAAAACATTGTCAACTAAACGTTTTCAAGTGAAATCTTAAGATTCCTTCGTTTATTTAACAAGGATTAGCAAAGAAATTCTGAGTATTTTGTTTAATTGTTAACATAATTCTTAACGTACACCAAAATAAGATGTACCATTATTTGTGTTTCATACGTTTAATACTTAATAAGAAAAAGTCAGATTCGTTATTAAGAAATAACTTTAAAAGAATTACATATAATACAACGTTCGAATATTTTTAATTCACCGATTAATAATATAATTTTTCTGAAGAAAAATGTACTTCAAGTAGAAATAAAGAAATCCTCGAATTAAAAAATTCTTTTTTGCATTTTGTTACTTGAAATTTTGTCTTAATTAAGACAATTTAGGAAACACAGTTGTTACCTTCCCGTAAAAGTTTAGAAAATCGACGTTTATTTTAACGATTAACGGAAGACGCTTCCTGGTAGCTCGTTTAGATGAAAGTTCGTTTGTTCATCCTTACGTGATTCATACATAGATAGTCGAACCTGGTACAAGATTTAATAGTTTTCGTTTTCTCTCCGCCTAATAAAATTGTTAATTAAATTTGTCTCGCCTTTCCGAAGAATCTTGTTATCCTTACTTACACTTCGATTTATCTTTTAAATATTGGGTGTATTTATACACTCAAACGTAACATACCAATAGTATGATAATGTAACATTTAAAAAATATTCTTCTTTGGTCGAATGTTTTGCTGTAAATCTAAAGGGAACGAATTAAACGAAACACAATTTCTGTTCCAACCAATTACTATAACATTGTTATTAATAATTTGTAATTCAACCTGTTTTCATTTCATCGCTGCGTTGATCGTTCATTTTTGTTTAAGCTATCAAGAGAACCTGTTTATTCAATCATCTCAATGAGATGAATAAGTGTTTCATTAACCACGTTAGAAAATCAATCAGTATTTTGCAATTACTAATACATTTCACATAATTACACTTCATACAGTGATTAGTATGAAACTGAATTACGTCATTTTTGAAACAAGGAAACTTCAAGTGAAAAAATGAAATCTTTGCGCAATTGGTTTTTTTCAATTGATTTTTAACTGTTACGTCTTTAAATTTGCATCTACATCCTATATTACGTATTGCATTTTTCTTTAAATGTACAATCATACAACGTAAGAAAGAGTGCAATTTTCTATTAAAAATTAACTGTAAATTTAATATTGTTAGGAAATTAAGAGCTACAATTGTTTTTTTTTTTTAGTAAATTATAGTATTCTATTATATTATGTGTATCCATTAACTATAATAAAACAAAAATCACAAATGCTGTTATGATAACGAACATTACATAATAATCACTGTAAATAATTAGTAGGAGCAATTAGTGAAATAATCTGTAGTCTACAAAATATTCAGTTCAATGTCTCTAATCACTTAAGAAATCAACACTTACAGGTCTCTATCACTTTTTCCTTGCAAACGCTGCTTCCGTTCATACATCACTGAACGCACAATAGATTTAAAATAAGAAGAAACTTGACTACAAAGTAATCCGCGTCATGAGATAAATTGAATAACCACTAACTACTTATATTACTTGAGGAAGCTCAAATTTGAACATCTTTAATATCTTACTAAAAATCTATATCAACAGATATACTGTTATTTTTAAATAACCATATAATCAGTTCCTCAAACAAGGACAATTCTTCAGAAATGTACTTAAAAGAAGATTCTATCGTATCTAACACTCGCAAAAGTAATCAAATACTTCCAGAAGAGTAAATTCTAAGCTAAATTTACAAAACGAAACTAATAATAATAACAAGAAGAAGAAACAAATAAAATGAAATTATTTAATACTAACAAGTATTCAAAAATATATAAACATCGTCTTGGATGTGCGTGTGGAGAGCTATTGTAAGCGAATGCCATTTTACAGCTGGTGGGAAAAAATTAATAATAAAAAAAGAATATGTATATATGAATATTTTTCTTCTAATTAATTTTATCATCGCGGGAGAAGCTTGTTTCTCTCCAAACACTCAACCCTGAAAACCAGTCTCTCCCTGAGAAACTGAATTTCCAAAAAAAGCACACCCCATAATCACCCCTGTTCAAAACCACCGTCACGTCTTCACTACGCAAACACACAAATTCGTGTCTCTGTTGCGCGAAGCGTCGAGAAGGAGTGTTGCAGGCGAGCATTAGGTGGATTTAGAAAGTGCCTATCCTCTACTACACCTAGTCGAAAAGGCAAAAAAAAAAAAAACACTAAAAACGAACGAGCCAATCGTCATTGAACAATGACGATCTTCTGCCGTCGATGGCAATTAATCGTAGTCAGAGTTAAGGTTCATGGACGATTCGTGGTGTTCGGAATCGAAAGGGTTCGGGTAAGGACGAGTCAAGTTCGTGGTGGTCAGGGAAAAAACGGCTGCAACGGAATCGGTGACAGTAGCGCGGAGAAAGATTTTAGATTCGCCAGACGGTCTCATCAGCATAGGTGATGGGTCGAGATGCGAGTGGGGCCAGGGCTGGTATAAAAGGGGCACCGTGGCATCTGCAGAGCATCAGTCCTCAAATCCAAGGAACAGCAGCAACCATGAGGGCATTCATGGTGAGTCGAACCTCTATCGTTTACTCACTGACCCCTTCTCTGATACACACTGACCTCCTCTTCCTGTCCGCTGGTTCTCCTCCTGCTTCCGTGACCGTTTGGATCTTCTTTTCTCACCTCCTCTCCTTCACATTTCTGTCCATCCTTTCGCGAACCAGGAAAAAGTGATTGGTACGAGGTGTAGTCTGGAAGGGTTGGATTTTGAAAGAAGTAACGATTAGCAATCTTACTATTACCTGGAGGAACTTTTACTTATTTACTAAGAAATCGCTGGTGTGATTGTTAGATATTGAGGAATTTGTTATTGAAGTTCGTGAAACATTTCGTCGAGAATGTTCTTGGTTTTCGAATTATACCTTTAGACGTCGCTTTTAATATCTAAAAAGTTCACGTGTCGTCAGTGTATCGTAATACGTTTTTTCAGACGTACTAGAAGGAAATTAACGAGAAGAAATTGCGAAATTGCATTTGGCGAAAGTAATACGACCACTGCACTAGGAAGCGCGTGTATCGGAAATTTCACGTGAAACATTAATGAGACCTATCGATAGATAGAAAAGAGATCACGATGGACAGTGATTATAGCGTAGCTTTTCCTCTTCCTTGTCTAGGAGAATTTAAAAACAGAAGAAATGAAGTAGCGAATAATTTAAAGCTTCGAGCTAACTTTGCAACGGTAAATTTTTCATTCTGCCTTCCTCGGTAATTTTCACAAATCGCTAAAGATTGCGAATTATAAAAAAGTAAAACTATACTTTTCCTAAAAAAAAAAAAGAAAAAAAGTAGAACATGGAAACGCTAAAGTAGCACTGAGACAAAATCTGATCGATTCATGATTTTTCCATAATTATAACAACTTTAAAATCGTTCGAGAGCTAAGGATAGGAAAAAAAGATCGAAAGAGGTAGCCGGGTAAATAGTAAGCAATTGTCTTCGTGTGAAAGTACCTACGTGAGAGCCGAAGAGATGAAAGAGAAAGAGAGAGAGAGAGAAGGAAAATGAAAATTTGTGGAGAGCATAGAAAGGGAGAGGGTATGGGAGAAAGTAGAGAATAGTGGGGATGATGACGATCCAGAAGACGACACAGATGCAATTGTCAATGAATTCGATGATCGTATCGAGATGCACGATTATGAAAATCCAAGGAAAACTTTCTAATCCCATGTAATCCCATTTCTTCCATTCCACTCCTTCTACCTTCTTCTTTTTACTATTTTCACAGAACTTCTTTGTCTTACGCTTCTCTTTCTTATTTCTGATTCGTCAACGGTTACAGTTGAATTATTATTATCTGGAAACGTTAACTTAATAGCTCTGGAAGCCTTCCCTTCTTGAAGAGTGTTATTCAGTTGAGAATTTATGTTACGAAGATCAGATTTTGCTAATAAACAGTAAAAATAATACAAGAATTTAAGTTCCTTTTGGATTTTAAACATCCACAGGATGTAAAAGAAAAGTGAAGAATCCTTGGTTATACTACTGTACAGTAGAACAAAATTTCAACGGTCATTATTATTTCTTTTAGTATTCTTTTTGAAAACATTGTAACAATTATTCTCACATTTACAATAATTAATTTTACTCCATGTTCTAGAAGCCAATACGTCCCTTATTTCTTTAGTTTCCTCTTCTTCCTATACTAGCTTTTAATTTACTCTTCTACTTCATTTCCTTATTATTTCCCTCTACTTCACTCTTTCAACTAATTTCAATTGTACCATCATCCTTTACTCTCCTAATTTACTTTCATATTCACTTTCTTTCCTCTTTTTCTATTTTCACTCCTTCAGTCTACTCTTCCACTCTATGCCTGTATCCTCATCTTTTATTTTACTCCTTCAATTCATCTCACTCTAATCCTTGACTCTATTTCACTATTTCAATTTTACTCTACTTTTACCCTTCACTTTATTCCCCTACTCTACCACTCCATTTCTATATTCTCATTCTTCACTTCACCCCAATCCTTGACTCTACTTCACCATTTCAATCTTACTCCACTTTTACTCTTCACTTTATTCCCCTACTCCTCCACTTCATTTCTACCATACCCCCATACATCTTCTCTTCGCAACTATTTTACTATTTCAATCTTAATCTATTTTCACCCTCCGCTTTACCACCATCTTCTGTCCTATTTCTCTCTGCCTTACTTCTTCCACCCTATTACTTCCACAAAATTCGCCAACCTAATTTCTTCACCCTTCTATTTCCAGATCGTGATTCTCGCCGCTTCCGCGATGGCGCGGCCAGAAGCAGGCTACTCATACTCCCAACCGAGCTCCAGTTACGGAGCGCCAACTGGAATCGGTGGAGGCCTCGGTGGAGGACACGGCGGAGGACTCGGTGGAGGCCTCGGTGGAGGACACGGCGGAGGACTCGGTGGAGGCCTCGGTGGAGGACTCGGCGGTGGTGGTGGACTCGGCGGTGGACTCGGCGGTGGACTCGGCGGTGGACTCGGCGGTGGACTCGGCGGTGGACTCGGCGGTGGACTCGGCGGTGGACTCGGCGGTGGACTCGGCGGTGGACTCGGCGGTGGACTCGGCGGTGGACTCGGCGGTGGACTCGGCGGTGGACTCGGCGGTGGACTCGGCGGTGGACTCGGCGGTGGACTCGGCGGTGGACTCGGCGGTGGACTCGGCGGTGGACTCGGCGGTGGACTCGGCGGTGGACTCGGCGGTGGACTCGGCGGTGGACTCGGCGGTGGACTCGGCGGTGGACTCGGCCGAACAGAAGACTCTGATCTACGTGTTGGTTAAGAAACCAGAGGAAGCGCCAGAAATCACCTTACCTACCATTGCACCAACTCAACCGAGCAAACCAGAAGTCTACTTCATCAAATACAAGACCCAGGTAAAGCGTAATCTTTGCTCATCTTCTATTGCAGGAAGTCAATATTTTACTGGAATATCGCACAGTGGAACTTGTTCTATTTTAGTCGTCGTTTCACTTTTATTGAGAATCGTTCCACTCTTTCTTTATTCAGATTATTTAGATTATAACGGAATAAGTTTCAATGGCACAGATCATTTTCCACTTCTACCTTTCTTTTGGATACTGTAGTACGTTAATCAAGTTCTATGATTCTTAAGGTAATAAGTGGGGAAAGAAAAACGTATTTCACAGTCTGTATCTCAAAGATATATTTTATTACGCCCCCTTTCAAGTTATCATTGATACATCGATAACAGCAATAAAAATAGTATCAAGCCCTACAATTCGCACCCACCGTTAATACTGACCTAATCAAAACTCATCGAATGCTTCTCTATGAATTACAGAAGGAAGTTACTGCTAGCGGTGGTGGTGGCGGCGGTGGTGTCGGCGGTGGAATCGGCGGTGGAATCGGCGG